TTGTCGACGACTGCCTCAACAATTCCGGTGGCGGTTCGCGGGCCCTGATAATCCTCGACGACGGGCTTGCCGGGCTTCTTGCCTGGTTTCACAATCTTGAGGGTAGGGAAGCCCTGGACGCCGAACTGGCCGCACAGAGGCTTATTGGCTTCCTCGTCGCAATCGACTGCGGCGACCTTGGCGAGTCCGTTGAGATTCTTGGCCGCTTTTTCGTAAGCAGGTTTGAGGTTCTGGCAGTGGCCGCACCAAGGGGCGTAGAACTCGACAATCTGCAGGTAGGGCGCGGGTCAGCGACACCCAGTTTGAACTAGCATAACTACAGACTGACATACCGAGGTGTAGTTGGACTTGGCGATCAAGTCATCATAGTTTTTGGCATCAACCTGGAGCACGGCAGAGCTTTTGGGATACATGCCGGCCTGGGCGCCGGGCAAAGCCGAAAGTACGGCAGCGCCAGCGGCGAGCAGAGTGGGGTGGTGCATCGCGGTGGATATAGAGTTAAGCAGTGTGTGGGGTGGGAAAGGTGAGTGAATGCAGCAGAGAATGAGACGCTACCTCAGGGAGCCTTGGTGTGTGTTGGCGAGAGAGAGGGAGAAGAAAAAGAGAAAGGAGGAGGGAGGGTGCAAAAGACAGAGACAGCGGGAAGACGTGGGAATAAGAGTTAGAACATGGAACTAAGTTCAGAGTGATGAGGGAACATTCGACTCTGCATTTATGGAGTGAGGAATTGGGGCCCTGGTGAAGGTAGCCTGAGAAAACTGTTTACTTGGCTTCTTTTCCAGTGCAAAGAGGCCAGCGTGGAACTGTGAGACGCGGACCCCTCACCGTTTGTTCCTAATTCGAATTCTGAATGGAACCATGGAATTTTCCAGTCAATTGAATCGAAGCATTCCGTATCCTCTCCAGCCACATACCCCACACGAGCTTGGAGAGCTTGAGCCACAGCTGTCAGCTACCAAATGTCAGTGTGGCGCAGCAGCTACCACGGGAAGAAGGACCGGCCGATCACCTTTCCCCCACTGTGATGTACGCACGCATGTGGGGAAACTTGACCCTGTGGTACGCTCCCAAGATACCTATTGCATGTCTCCCACGTCTTGGTGTTGCAGCACTCGTCGCATGCTCTCAAACCCTTTGCGCCTGTGAGCTGCCACACAGCAAAAGTTCCCCCCTTCCCTTTGTTCTCGATCTCTAAATCCAAGGCCGAATCTGGCGCAACTTCAACACGAAGATATTCCACTCATACCCCTCCAACCATCCACAGGCCACTTGTCGCAGCCATGGCCGAACCAATCCCCGATAGCCTGCGACAGGCCGATATCACGAGATTCATCAATCGCGCGAATCAGCTGCGCCAATACAAGCCTGTCATTACCTACTGGTGTACGTCCTCCCATCTCCTATTTGGAGGCGGCTCGATAACCTCCGATACTGACCGGAAGCGCAGGCGAGTACTGGGTAGTCAACCAGATCCTGGCCAAGGGACTGCACAATGTTGACGACGAGAGCCTTACCTATACGACAAACCTGATGGACCGACTCGAACAGGTAAAGTGCTCTGATGAGGCATTGTTCGCTTCCGGAACTGTCTGGGGATTAACAGATGCTATGCTAGACCAAAACAGAGAACGCCCAGGAAGAGGCAATCACAGACGATGCGGTCGGGCAGGCATACGTTGAGCAATTCGCGCAAGATGCTTTCGAGAGAGCAGAGAAGGTCATGAAAGCGAATAGAGTCACACGGTTTGCGGCCACTGCTCAACCCAGCCAAACTCACCTTCGTCGCCCGCTAACCACAATTCGAGCAGGCAAACCGCCGATACATACGACGCTGCTGCGACTTTTCTCTTGCTGGGAAACATATGGGGCGCCATAGACGAGGAGACACAGAAGAAGGTCAAATACGCGAAGTGGAACGCTGCTCGCATACTCAAGGCCATCAAGGAAGGCAAGGATCCGAATGAGTCCAACCCTAAGCAGGAGGAACCCAAGGAAGTTCTCCCTGCTTTGGATCCCAACGACCCCGATGTCCGCGGCCTCACCTCTCCCCCTCCGAAACCCGCCTCTGTTGAGGACGATCCAGAGACCGAGTTTTACAGGAAGGCTTCTACACCCCCGGAGTCTGCACCTCCCGCTGCGCCGAACGAACCGGTCCCTACTCAGTCTAGCGTCCTTGATCTTCCCTCCGTCCCAACAGAGAACGACTTGAACCCTCCTGCGAACCAGAATCAGGGTTATTTTGACCCCCCCGAAGAGTTTCCGCCTTCGCCCCTCAGTCAGAATGACGCGAACGAAGTGGCTGCTTCGGCAAATGCTCCGTCGGCACCATCGCCCTATGTCGCATCCTCAGCAGGCCCATCTTTCAGCCCAGAGAATGCCGCTTCGCCGTGGCAGCCGCCTAAGATAGCTCCACCGCACGTCGCCAAATCAACTCCGCCACCCGCCTCGAAACAATCCAAGCCCCCGACAGCTGCGCAGCAGCCCAAAGCACCTGCAGTTCCCGCCTCACACAACTCATGGACCCCAAGCAGCGCGCCGTCAGATGAAATGGACTTGCCCAAGGCACAGAAGCACGCAAAATGGGCAATCTCTGCTTTGAACTTTGAAGACGTACCAACTGCGGTGAAGGAGCTTCGTAATGCGCTTGCGGCGCTGGGCGCGCAGTAATAGGGCTATCGAGTCCTGCGTATCGACAGTCGAGGCTCGGAAGATGACAATACAGAAACGGAGACTAATAATTATTAGGTCTCAGGAGTCTAGATCCGGGGAGTTGAACAATGAGACATTATCTATCTACTGACAACTCAAACTGTTACTCCAACTGTTGGCCAGCAGTTTATTGGTTTCTTATGCTACTCCACCATTCACGCGGATGGTTTGACCCGTAACCCATGATGATTCCTTGCCGGAGAGGAACAGAATGACGGAAGCAACCTCCTCTGGTGTACCTATCCTGTTGAAAGGGCTACTTGCGTTTGCTCGTTGAATCATCTCATCCGTCTTATCCTTGTAAAAGAGCTCTGTGCCTGTTGGGCCGGGTGCGATGGCGTTGACAGTAATGCCTTTGCTGGCGAGATCCTTGGCCATGAACTTGGTCATCTGCTCGATGCTGCCCTTGGTCGACGCATATAGAAGATATGGTGGGGGCAAGTTGCTTGTTGCGAGCACCGTCGTGGATAGAAAGATGATCCGGCCGCCTTGGGGCATGTGAGGAAGTGATTTCTATAGCATTGTCAGCAACGGTGAGCGTTCCGGCTTCGCGTACAAGATTCTCTCTCTCTCTCTCTCTCTCTCTCTCTCTCTCTCTCTCTCTCACCTGAACCAGAAAGTAAGGCCCTTTGACATTGGTGTTGAACATGGCGTCGAAATCTTCCTCCGAGGTGTTCTCGACGGTGCGCATATGCATAATGGCGGCGTTAGGGATCAGGACGTCAATCCTGCCAAAGCGATCGACTGTGGCGTCGACGAGCCCCTGCAACTCTGATGTCTTGGAGTTGTCGGCGCGCACAGCAATGACACGGTCGCTGCCGATGGTCTTGACAACCTCGTCGGCGGCGGACGAGTCGCTGCTGTAGTTGATGACGACCTTTGCTCCTTGGGCTGCGGCGCCGATGGCTATGGCTCGGCCGATGCCCTTGGAGCCGCCTGTGACGAGGACGACCTTATCCTGGAGCGACATGCTGATAACAAGCGGGTGAGGAGAATCCGATGAGGCTAGGTGGCGGCAAGATTATTGGGAATGGTGTGTACGTCAAGGACTGCTCTGTGATGAAGAACTTGTGCCGTAGTGAAACGATGCAGCAGTAGTTTTGTGCTGGCAAGCTAGAAGCTCTTATAATTGGCTCAACGAGCGTGCTCCGCTGCGCTCCTCGGAGCTCCTCAGTGCAAGAGCGGTACCTTTTGGGCGTCATTCCCCCCAACGGACACACGCGCGGGCTTCGCTACTCGAGAGCCCATTGTCTACGCGCGAAAGGCCGAGCTCGCAGTGGGGGGAAGCAAGAAGAACCCCTGGTGAAGTCCGTGGTTCATGTTATGTGTCATGTTCCTATTACGTTTATTCAATTCATTATCGGATGGCCGTCGGGGGATAGGAAAAAAAAAAAGCATCTATACTAGCTTGGCAGCTTGCTCACCATCAAGAACAGAACGATTCGCATCTCTGTAATCCAGGGCCCATTGAGGCTCGAAAGATGCTTGTACAATCCGATAGAGCCGATGGCCTTGGTGTCTTGTGCAAATCGGACTTGGAAAAACCGACCCCTGCAACTCCGAGAGGGATCAATTAGCTTAAGCTGTTTCCGATGGGCCGATTGCCGAACCAGCTGATAAGATCTTGTCCGCGACTAAGTTGACGGACGACGATTGACATGGCTCAACCACAAAACTTGTACCGTAGACACTCGTTAAATTCGTACAAAGCTAGTAGCGTGGCAGGACTACAAGCTGGGGCTTATCTTAGAAGGCGGTCAACCTGCTCATCTACTTGACTACCACTAGATCCCTGTTTCTGCTAGCACGCTAGCTCTTTTCCAGCGGCCGCTATATCCCTTGCCGTTAGCTCAGCTACTAGCTATGTACGAATTCAACGAGTGTCTACGGTAGGTGATCTTTAGTACTATCTTTTGCTCAATTGCGGACGTAACATTCCGCACAACCAGTCATGATTCTTCGGGGGGGGGGGGGGGGGGGTGTATGTCCGAGACCTTTATGTATCAAAGGGCTTATGTCCGTGTCCTGACAGGATGCAAATTGGCAGTTATTAGCAGTCGACGATCAGTTGTTAACTCCATCGGCTTTACAACAAGATGTCTGCTCAGTGCCGTCCGCGAGATGCCGGTGACGGTGGAGCGGAGTATTGTTGATGTCATCCGAACTTGTAGTCCTGGCGTCACAACAGTTCACCCCTCTTTATCGTTCGTAATTGTGATGTCTTATCGTACTGCGTGGCTATTCGGTAAGGTGTATGCATAGTAAGCCTGATGCAGTATGTTCCGGTCTTGGTAAGGAATGAGGGGTCTGAATTGTAAACCTGCATGTCCGTCGCTTCAGGGAAGCGTGGGGTATTCTAGCATGGGATTTACTATATAAAAGGCGACCTATGGTCCATCCATACCCAGCCTTAACAGTTTGCCAACCCAAAACCTATTCATACTCCAGTGTACCGGACAAAATTACTTCACTCTTGTGCATACATCCTCGTTCTTCATCAAATCAACAATCAGGATGGCATCACTTCCAAAGACGTACAAGGCCGCAGTGGTTGAGTCCAAGAGCGCGCCGCTGAAGATTATCGACAAAGAGCTGAAGCAACCTGGCCCCGGCCTCATCCTCGTCAAGGTCTTGGCATGCGGTGTATGCCACTCGGACGTGGGCATGCAAGAGGGCGGGTTTGGCGACAGCGTCTTCCCCCGAATTCCAGGTCACGAGATTGTCGGCGATGTGGTGGCCGTTGGAGAGGGCGTAAGCAGGTTCTCTGGCGGAGAGCGAGTTGGAGGGGCCTGGCACGGAGGTATGTTTCGGGCCTACTTATATATTCAAGTGAGCCCATTGAGGTAGAGGATTCTGACGTTTCTGATGCAGGTCATGATGGGACGTGCCGGCAATGCCAGAAAGGCTTTTTCCAGACATGCGATAACGGGACGGTCAACGGTGTGTTCCGCGACGGCGGGTATGCGCAGTACGTGCTGCTCCGCTCCGAAGCCGCGGTGCGGGTACCCAAGGACGTCGACCCGGCCGAGACGGCGCCGCTACTGTGTGCCGGAGTGACCGTCTTCAACAGCATCCGCAAGATGCAGATTGAGCAGGGCAACATGGTCGCTGTCCAGGGTCTCGGCGGCCTCGGTCATCTCGCCGTGCAGTACGCCAGCCGCATGGGCTACAAGACGGTCGTGATTAGCTCGGGTGCCTCGAAGAAGGACTTCGCGATGAAGCTGGGCGCGCACGTGTATATCGATTCGAGCTCGTCAGACCCCGTCAAGGAGCTCAAGAAGCTCGGCGGCGCATCGTTGATCATCGCGACGGCGCCCAACCCCAAAATCATCTCGCCGCTTACGGAAGGCCTGCACGCTGGCGGCAAGCTCTGCGTGCTCGCTCCGGTTGGAAAGCTCGAGGTCGACACCGTCGACCTAATCGTAGGCGGCAAGTCGGTTTGTGGCTGGCCCAGTGGAGATCAATTTGACTCGGAGGAGGCGATCGATTTTGCGGTCACGCACGGCATCAAGTGCATGATCGAGCGATTTTCGCTGGAAGACGCGAAGGAAGCATCAGAGCACATGTTGTCTGGCAAGGTCCGCTTCCGCAGCGTGTTGGTTATGGAATAGGCCACATGACGAGAACGAAAGCCTTTTTTGCTGTATTAATAGGAAAATATGACAACGACAATGATGGTGATACCCGAATGAGAGAGTGGCAAAGAAACCATCATATCAATCTTGTGGTAATGAAATTGAGTGGAGAAACGGTCCCCACCGCTCCTGACTAGTAGCGCAAGGCAGATTCTTACTTGACACGCGATGAGAGAGAAAACCTAACACAGTTCATCAAAAATGCTCGTGCGTGACTGAACCATCCTCGTTTTTGGGCTGCCACAAGTGACGAAGCAAGAGCAGCACGACCTCGCCAACAAACTTCCTCCAAGTGCCGGCTTCCTCCTCCCGCTGGGTATCCCGGTTTTCAATTGGCTGGCGTCCGGCGCCACCCCTTGCATTCGTTTCAGGAGGCCGTGCTTCTCTCATACAGTAGGTACCTACCTACCTGAATTTAGGTGCTACCTGTACGGAGTATGGCCACATCACAACGACTCAACTGTGATATGACCGCACACACCACCCTCTCCTCCTCACCCTCCTCCTAAGGCCCTTGAATCAACCGCATCAGGTCGACTCTCGTCTGTGCCAACATGGTGCCTAATCCTGACATATTCTTCATCAGCGGTGTGTCACTGCCGGTCCCGCCCTGGCCCGAGAACCCCATACTTTCAGCGGCGATACTGCTCCACCCCGGGAACGTCAAAAGATTCGGGCGGAGTCTCGAGTTCAAAAACGTGCGGGACCGCCAGCGCCGCATCTATACCAACCTCGTCGTTTTATTCCGTCTAGTGACGCGCTGTTGTCACCTTGCCTTTGATCACGATGCCTTCTGGTCGTTTGTCACCCATCACTGGGGTGTACCCAATGCCGGTCCTCGGAAGGTAGAGGAGCTTGTCGACATCTACTCGGAACGCCGCCGCGTCTATTCGGCAGCTGCGTACATCAAACGGAAGCACCGGGATATCTTGACGGACCTTATCGATGCATGGAATTCCCGTGATTCCAGCTCTTCGATGCCCTCCCCTCTGTCAGGGCCGGAGATCGCTGCTGAATGGGAGCGTGTCAAAACATCATGGCTGGAACAGCTACGCCTTGACCATCAGTCGCTCTTTGATGAGTCCAGTCTACCCTTTATCGGGGCTTTTCCTGCCAGAAAGGGGACACCATTCGCATTTCAGATCAAGGGCGGAAGCAGCCGGGCTCTTGCATCTGGGAAAGATTTGTTTGAACGCATTACGGCTCCTTCGCCGGGCCATCACTGCATGTCTTCAGTCACAGCCAATGATCATACAGTAGAATCACCCGCCCCCAAGGCTACGGAAGATATCATTGGTGATTTCATCCAAACTGAGAGTCGGAAGCGCAGGTTCACATCCGACACTCCCAACACTGCGAAGCGCCAGTGCATCCCAGAATCGCCTCTGAGCTGCCTGCAACTGGAAAACGAGGCTGTCTTAGCGCGTCACAAAGCTGACGCGCAAGAAGAAGATAGGAACAGCTCAGACCACATGTCTCTAGATGCCAGCTATGGGCCCGCAGATGACGCAATTCATCGTCGCATGGAAGCACAGCAAACGGAGCAAAGTCTCACACTCGGTGACCCAACCACATCATGCATTGGACTGCACGTTGGGATAAACAACGGTCCGTCCTCGGTGTCTTCTGACAAACGGATGAAAGAAAGCAACAAAGAAATGCAAATGTTAAAGGAGCAGACAAAGCTCCTTTTGGAGTCTCGAGAACTCTCGCGGGATCTCCAGAAAGCTCATGACCAGTTAATCATGTTTACGGCCTCGAAGTGCCAGGAGTCATTGGAAAGACTGGATCAGCTCAGTAATCAAGTGGATATCTTGGGTAAAGATGTTGTGGCATGTCGTCAATCTGGCGAAGAGTTGCAAAAACGGCAAACAAAACAACAGAACCTCATCCACGGTCTCCAAGACCATGTCGCATGTGTGGAGTCGGCCCTGGAGGAAGCCAAGAAAGACATGGTAGCCCATGAAAGTCGACGAAACCACGACGAGCACCACAAACAAGTTGTTGAGGCTCGATTGTTTCAACTAGAAAGCAAACTCGAAAGCCAGACCAGTGCAAGACTGCAAACAACGGAAAGCGTCGAGGCAGAGCTGCAGACACTGGGAAAAGGTGAAGCCAGCAGCCTAGAGGCTGTAGTCCCTGAAAGGCTTGACGAGCACCATGAGACAAGTGGAATGATCCGTTCGAGTCATCCACTCAACTTGGAATTTGAAGGGCGTTTGACGAACATGGAGGAGACTATTGCAACCAGCACCGCACTGATCAATCACTGCAGAACTTTAGTCGGGGTCAGCAAAACGACAGTGGACCAGCATTTTCAGATCCTCGATAACCGCGTCAAAATGCTTGAAAATTGGTGTAGTAATCACATTGCCGATCAGACCAGGATCAGCAAGGAACAAACCCGAAGACTAGAGCTGGTTGAAGCCGAACTAACGCGGTATAAGGAAGCGGCATCAAATCAACTGCAACAGATGCCTGGCCGCCCATCATGGAGCGAGTTCGCTGATCTTCAAGCCCAGCTGAACGTAATGCAGAATTCCCTGGCAGCCATTGAGCAGACAAGGGCTAACCCTACCGGGGATGATTCGGGGACTCCTTTATCGCTAATTAGTCAGACTGCCCTCCACCGCCCTGTGCGGTCTGAGCAGAACGTACCTTCAGCATCTTCACGAAAACATGTACCTAATATAGTGGCTGTCAAAAAGGAGAACTAAGTGTCGAGTTGCAGCATATGTACACTAGTAGTACTACCACCTCAGGGAGAGCTTGTCGTCAAGCCCCACCCAAAGATCTTTCAATATAAAGTTGAAGGCGAAAAGGGGTAATGTTGAAAATGCATTTGATCGGGCTCAGTAGACCAAAGCAAAGTCTCCATAAGGTACAAACAATAGCTTCCTTAACGATATACTTTCAAAAGTGGGCTGCATGCATTTTCCAATTCGAAACATCCTGCTATCGACATCGTTTTGCTTCCTTATCTTCAGACCAAACACTGAAAATACTGCGTAGGCTAGAGTATCCCACAACTGTCGCTCGTGATAATGGGATTATCAAAACGGTTCTCTGGCAAAAGTCTACCTTCTTGTTTACGCTTTTGCGCTCGCTATACCCGGGGCATCTGAGGCTAAAAGAGCAAATGTTGGCCTTTAAAAACGCTCAATCGACCGCCTGGTCGATCGATTTAGTACCGTAAATACGGTCACAGCCAGATGGCACAATATAAATTATTGGAGTAGTAAACCTGTGGTGCTGCCAATAGCGGTTGCCAGCTTTGCCATTGACAGTGAGCACCCTAACTGGCTGCGGTATACTCGTATCGTGCAAAACGTTAACATTGTCGCGCCCAGTAACTTTCCCCTTGGCGTAAGATATTGTTACCCTTCCTGGGATGTGACTGAAACATGCTGGAGTCTCTCACATCGAGTCCGACTAAATCGTTCTCAACGTGTTTCTGGAATTAGACTTTGTCTTTGTGATGATTATCCTCAACGGCACGAGATTTACATTGCTAATAGAAAGGCGCCGCCGAGCTGATGTGCCATAGTGGTCTATATCCAAGTTAGATAGTCAATATACTGATTCTGAAGGAGCTTGATATGAAGGTGAATATGGGCAAAACACAACTGGTCTGTCGTCAAAACTTGTCGGGGTAAAGTCGAGGGGCATTCCGGGTTGGCAAAAGATTATCCACGTCCAAATCGATTCTGCATGCGCTAGTACTATTTTCTTTCTGTGAATGACAAATTCCTGAGGTGATTCATCAGAGTCAAGATACAGCTTTACAAACGGTCTTCTCTTAGTGAGAATGTTTGAACAACGGTGATGTTTTCACGGTCGCTCCCTGCCAACTCCTTTGAAGCTTGAAGTGTGAGTTCGGTTTCGCTCTCGTTATTGCGCCTCCCCGTTGACTCCCACCCGCGAGCTCGCTTGTTTGACGGCTCATGTTGCAGACTTCTGTCTGACTCGCTATTTGCCATATCCTGGCTGTTGATATCGTCCTTGGCCATGAAGGTGGTGAGACTGAAGGGCCCACGTCGCTGACGACTCGAACTGGTATTGCTGATATTATTTACTTTGCCGCCCATAGCGGATGGATTCCCGCGTTCGTAGTCATGGAGCTGAGAGGGACCCATAGAGGTGAACCCTAATCGATATCCTACGAGCCGAAACAGCGGGCGGAGGGTTGCAAGGCTGCCTGCGGTGCAAGCCAAACCCTGCTCGACAGTGGACCAGATGGCGATGTCTACTGTCGCATCTGCGACCAAGCGTATCAGCAACTTTGAATTCGATCATGATGGAGGCCAACGGGGGGGGGGGCTCTAGACTTACAAAGGAAGTCCGGGTTCTTGAAGTCTAACACAAACGGCATGCGTACAACAACAGCAGCGCTGGCGCTTTGGGATATCAGTTAGCTTGAAGTAGAGACCGAGAAAAAAGGAACAAAACTAACATGCAGGCCATAAGCATAACAGGCACAAGCGCCAACTTGGTCTTATGGTTCATCTTCAAGTTCCAGATGAGGACAATAGGCAGGATGGCAAAGGTAAAGTCGCAGATAACACTGAAGGCGCTGTAAAGGAAGGTAAGGGCGATGATGACATCCATTGGGACGCAATGCCCATTTTGGGTGCTTTGATTCCAGAAGTAGGAGATCGGCTGGCATTGGAGAAGAGTGACGAAAAAGAAGACAAGGCCAGTGCAGACTGTCAACATCATCACAATGTATATGATCCAAATGTCGAGTTTTCGGACCGTTATTCGAAGAAGGAAGTAGCCAATGGAAAGTTTTGAGGCGACCATGGCCAGACAGTACCAGAGGTAGCAATACCACCAATACTGTTGCTCGTCAGCGCTTGTCCTTCCAACCGATGAGTAGGCTTACCATCATGGCAGACTCCCAGTCCTCATCGCTGAGATTTACACGGTGACGGCCTGTGCCATAGTGCACGCCTGTCAATGCACATGATACAAAGAGAATAAAGAATATCTGTAGACGACCAAGTCAGCCTAGAACCCCAATGAACATGTATTGCTATATATGACAATCAAGGATTTAGCGTACGGTAGCAACAACCATAAACCAATCGTCAATTCCAAAGTTCTTGACTAGAAAGACTCGGACGTAACACCGGAGGACAGTGGCTACGAAGGCTGTGATGACGAGAGTCAAGCCGACAGCCACAAGCTGCGGGCCACGGTTCTCGATTTCCGCCATTGAGATTGGAGGACGCAAAGTGAAGGTTAGGGCGGCTTCAGGACCAAAGGAACAACGATGTGAAGAAGAGTCGTGCTGCTACCAAAAGAGGGACTGGGAGTGAGCCGCAGGGTTAGACGGCGGTCTGCAGACTCTCCGTCTTGTCAGAAACAAAGATGGATGGGGATGGATCTTATTGAAGATGTGAGTCTCTGAACACAACGAACCATACAACCGGTTATGCCGGCATGTCCGCGTGTTGCCTGGCGCTATTGCTGCCGTGCAGCGTGGAAAGAAGCGGAGAGGCACTAGTACCCCCTGATTGTCAACTGCACAACTACGCAGAACCTTGCAGACTTGAACCCAACTATGGCCATGAACCATTGCCATATACTAAGAGATCTTCGTGTACAAGGTTGGAATGGCGGTAGACTGGGCTTTTTGACCCTGTCACTCTGGTGGAAGAAAAAGAAAAAAGGCCACTCCCCCACTTTGTGGTTGAGATCGGCCATTATTTTTCACCTGAGTGCCTGTCTGTCAACACATGTCGGCAAACTACATCTGAGGCGATCAGCTTCACACGCTACCGCCCAGGTGGGGATCGCTTGAACACCTTCCTCATTAGCGAGCCGGTGACATGGCCATATGTAGTTACCGGCCGAGGAGCCCGTTGCCTAAAACCCCCGCGTGAGCTCTGAAGAAAACTGAAGACTCTGAGTTTTCTATTCTCAGGGGATTCCTTTGCTGGGTATGAGAAGTGGCAAAAGACTCCAGTTGGGGGCAGGGGGTGCTGATAACAGGTTCCTGGATGACAATCAGCCGCCTCCTCAATGCAATTACGATTCTCCTGACCAGCTTCCCACGAGGTATGACAGGGAGCTGATTCCATCCCGATGGAGAAAAGGGATTATACGGAGGTCAACTCCCTGTCACGGCTGACCACAATCGGATACAAAGTAACATGAACACGTGTATTCCTATATCTGGACATTGCTTCTTGCTTTTGCAAGGCATACAAAAGGGACTACTGGTGGCCTTGGCCCCTTGGGCGAGGAAGATAGAAGGGGGCGTTTGCGCTTGGCCGGAGCTTCACCTGATCCCTTTCCAGATAGTGCTTCATACAGATTTTCACAGGTGCGGTGGCACCGCTTATCTTTTCTGAGAATGCATGCGGGGAATATCTCCAGTTTTCCTGTACACCAACTATGGACAAAAGCGGTATGCAAGACGGCCATAGCCCGGAGGTAGCCACTTCCGTACCATCGCAAGTGAGATTGTGTGGATATTGGGAGGAATTGGGGGTCAAATTTGGCAGGTGGACTGCGTATGGTGACAGGAACCAGGGATAGGTTCAACTACGTTCAGCGACTGGTGGGAATTGTCAGAGGGGCGAGAAGGATGGCGGACTGGGCCACTGCTGTCAGCGAAGTCTCCAATGGGGAACTGATTGTCTCTAACATCTCCACTCGACTTACCATGCCATTCGTATCCAACTTAAGGGGAAGCCAGTCATAAGCAGTGTGTCACAGACTCGCTTGTGTTATGCTAGCGACTCGGGCTGTAACCCCTAGCCTATAATCCATCGTCCATTAGTAGTATTTATGCCGATTCTTCATCGTCCTCTGACTAAATTCCAGTTTTTGACTGGCATTTTCCCATCCCAAACACCAACTGACGACGTGGGAGCGGTTTGGTCATCATTTCAGGATTGCCCAAATACTAACTGAAATCTCGTCCAATTTCCAAATCCACTGGCGCCTCTGACCTCCTCGAGCTATGCCACACCCACAATTGTCACCAAATCCCTGTTCATCATGAAGGCAGCGGACTCATTTGCCCACGCGAGGAGCCCAAGGACTGACAGGGGCTCGGCAATGACCCACAACTTTTATCGGACAAATACCTTTAGTCCTGGGCTACAGTCTCTCCGTTCCCACTTTGCCGTCGGCCCGTATTATGTCAGATAACAGTTCTGATGCCGAAGGAGACAGTCTGCCACTGGGGTGTACCTGCAGGTCCTCAACTGGGCAAATACTGCCTAGAGTCGGCCGGGGCGGTGTCGGCCTGCGCAAAGTTATCACCACACAAGGCAGGTCACCCTGGAGCTGCTGCCTGGTGGCGGATAGTTCAAGTAGTCGCACGGAAGTGAGTTTGTGTGAGGCTTGCATCAATAATATTCTCAGAACTAATTTCTGTACCTATAACTATGTGAGCTACACAAAAGTAAAGTAAATTGTGAACACCTCAGCACGATTATCGAAAGTCCGAGAACGTGCTTAATTGATACTAGACCGGATATATGTAAGCCATAACGCCCACGCCACATCGTATGGCGGCCTATAATAAAATGTTTCCGTCTGTATTGAGAGTGCAAAGCAGGATATTCGACGTAAATAGCAGATGTGAGTATTACTGTAACAAAGCATCGACTCTATATCTAGATTATGAAACCCATAACCCCACCGATATTCATTAGCCAGCAACGTATAACTTGGTCTCACCTATGTTATCGGGCGTGTGCTATGTTGCTTGACCCATGAAGTGTCATCTTCGATCTGCAAAAGATGCGCCAATGCCCAATCTTGGTCATTGGCATAAGGATCTTTGTAATGAGCTAGTCGACCGTTCACGGACCGAGGGTAGATCCATGCACAAGACGCTCTCCCTTCAGGCGTGAAAAGGGACAGGTTCGCTCGAAGAACACTCTCAGATTGCTTCCCATAGGAAAGGTCTCCAGTTGAAATGCTGAAATGATGTAAAGCGATGGCGTTTAGCGTGCTCCAGTAGTGTGGAAATGTGTCTCCCCATGTACGGTCTTTCCCGAACCAGTGACCGTCCCAATGCCGAATGGCGACGTCGTGGACTCGATAGTCTGGCTGCTTTCCGGCAAAGCGGAGGAGAACCTCCATTTGCAACCCCGCAGCTGCGAGCCATGTCTTATCACCTGTCGCCCTGTAGAGCTCAAGGAGTATAATTGCTGCTGGTGCTACGATGGACTGCTCAAAATTGACTTCGAACGGGGGATAGTCCGTTCCTCGTTTCACAATGTTCCGGCCGTGGGAGATGTAAAGGCTTTTAGCCCGCTGATAAGCTACCTCCATACCCAATGCTTTGAGCATTCGGAGACTCTCAAGAATTGGCAAACCAATAGCATAGAGTGATGCGCCACCTTCGTCATAGAAATTCTCTAGGGTTTCCATGAATCTGGTAATAGGGGATTTGTCACATGGAGCCGGGATTCCGATGGCTGCGGCCACAAGATGAAGCTGCAGGACCCACGGCCAGTTGTAGAGGCGCTTGTTGAAGTAGGTACCGGTTCCATATGGGGCGTCGAAGACAAATCCGTTCTCCGCTTGAAGCTTTGTGCACACGAATGAATAGTAGGCTGTGAAAGAGTCCCTCAGCTTGCCATCTGGTTTTTTTTTCAGCCAACGACCAATGAGAACGCCCATACCAACACGTTCGCGTCCAGCATTGCGGTCCTGCTGCGTCTCGTAAAAAGGTGATGCTTCGGTTTGGTTGTCATAAATGACGTAGGCACCGTAAAGAAGATCATCAGCATCCTTGACTTGCTGTTTATCCACAATGAAATTGATTCGACTCTCAATGAGGTCGTCACATCGTGGAACAGTGTTGAGAAACACATATGACTCGTTCTTTTCACCATCCTGGCTGGTAGCAATGCAGAGAGTCTTCTGACCCATATCTCCGGCATGATGAATAAAAGTGAATGTCGAACCTTCCTGTTGCACAATCTGGCCGTTTACCGTCGTCGTAGAGTTGATAGCAGTAGCACTGCCTCTCATTCGGATCTTGAGGGTTTGACCAGAGACAAGCGTATACCTTGAAATGTCGAAATAAATGAACTGACACGATCGACGGGCGCACTGAGCGAAGAAGTCTTCCCAATCACTGTGCCAGAACAAGGTCCACTCGATAGTGTTTGATTGACCAGGCTCGAGAATTGGGACAGAAGGATGAAGCAGAAACACTCCTCGAGTGTTGGAATGAGTTATTTCATCCCGAGACTCGATGCTGTAACCAGATAGCGATCCCTTCGTAAGTACGAGACCCAGATTCCGCCCGCGCCCCCCCATCTGACTGAGTTTGACCCATGTTGAACTTCCGCCATTGGCCCAAACGTGAGCATGTGTACGGGAATGGAGTGCATCGGTAGTATTGGTATAGTGGTCGTTGAAGGGTGTGTATATTGCGAATGACGTTTCCCCTTTTGCGGAAAGATTGAGCGGATAGGCACCTCGATTCCGGAACTCATAAGACTCAGTGAAGCACTGCTTCTGTCCGTCGAGTTGTCGGTGGACAACGAGTTCCAATGGCCCAGCATGATAAGTTACGACCGTGGCATCGCGGCTGCTCGAGCGATCGATCTGAGGGCTGTTCCAAAAAAGACGATGGAGAAGATTGGCGCCGAGGTCTGCGAATCCTAATCCCCAGCGACTACCCAGAGGCTGCCATGGTGCGTTGGCCGGAGAGCTGACCCAGTTCATCGGGATTTTGGCGCGAGGATCAGTGATCTCCAAAACAGCTCCGGTAGCCCTATCGATACGGACATGAAAGTCTTCATTATACAGCTCGATAGTCCGAACCATGATTGTAGTGGTGCTCACAAAGTGGCGATATGTCGATTTAAGAGGCTTTTTGTCGAGGTCAAGGATGGACTATTGCAGGATTACAAAGATGAGGGAAAAACACAGCTGGGCCACGGCATGCTTTTTGTGGTAGGCTGAGACATACACCAACGTGATCTATGAGATCACTGGACGAAACTTTAAAGCGCTGACACCGGCTACACAGATATTTGATAGTGTGGGGTAGAAACTCGGCTGCCGAAACCAGCTGTGCGGCGGGGTCGTACACCCGGTAGGTTTAATAGAGTTACGCCTTAATGGGGTCTATAGAGATACAGCTCTTAGAACAGTGTGCAGAACAATTAGTGTGAGCTACGCCTTTTTTACTTCAACGTAAATTAGAAAATATCAGCGTGTCCCAGAAACAGCATTCATATGGAGCAAGAAATATCTTTCGAGTTTGCGTTCAGATAATATATTAACTAATCAATAGCCTGACAGCGGTTATACACAAGGGATAAGAACCATTGACAAGATGTCTAAGTGCAATGTCAGCAAACTAAGTACTTTCTTACAAAACAACGCATCACCAAAAAGCAAGATCAGCTTGTTAGAACGTTGATGTCACATGCTTGTATGTCACCCAATGATTTACGATATTCAATACAAAGGGCACGGACAAGAGACTCGGCCGTTGGTTATTCTCATGAAGGGACTAATACACATATAAGTCTGACTTAGAAACGTCTAGGACAGAGTATGTCTGTTTGTATAATAGCCAAGTCTTTTAGTTAGAAGGCTGGTCACAATGATACAGCTTTGGTTCACCCCATATTTGTTTGAGAACCGTACGAGAGTCTATTCAACAAATCTTATTTGTGATGACAAAGTGGATCCACCTATACCATTACGACATTATATTATCCGTATACGGGAGAGGAAATAATAGACATAGTGTACTGTGACGTGGTTGTTAGGCTAGTATACTCTTATATACGACGGAACTCGAAAGCCTAGTGTATTCCGTTAACAGCGTTAACAATGGGCATATCCCTTATTGCCTTGTTACTGCAAGCAAAACATACCAAATCGTGCCAAACGACACCTGCGTACTCAGACTGACTCTTGCCAAAGTGTGCGAACCCCAACTTCTGATAGTAGGGTACAAGTCTATCATAAGTAAGAATTGAAATCCTGTCCGCCTGCCCAATCTTCATCATCTCTTTAATGTAGATCGAGATGAGTTTCTTGCCATAGCCTAGCCTTTGCCAAGACGGCGAAACGGCAAGCGAATGCAGCGCAATGGACCTGCCCTCAGGTCTATGCCCGACGCAGTGAATAGCCGTGGACTCCGTCTTCCACTTCACTGGGCAAGCCATGTCTTCATCTTTGACCGCCCGAGAGACCGACTGCGTGGCAATGGTGTGTGCAATGAGCCGGTCATTCCCCCAACCGTCAGGCGCTTTGGTCAAGATTGGGATGTCTCCTTGTTGTCTGCACCCTTCTGCGGTACTTGTCCCATGCCGGGCAAATAACCCGTAGCAAATATGAGGACAAACAGATAAGCGATACTCGATCTAAGGCAGTTTGAGGGTTAGAATGTTAGACCGCATTGCTGGAGACTAGGCCTATCAGTCGGCGTAGAACCGCGAATGAGTCGAGTAGCGGTAGGCTTCGTCTCAAGGGTACAGATAACTGCAAAAAGGTTTATACCAAATCAACTACCTGGGAGCTGAGGTGGTTCATGAATCGGAGTGTGAGTCACTTTACTCACTTTTTCACGAGTCGCAGCTTCGGCAGGCGGAAAGGCCGCAGACTCCACAGTTGCGCATTGATCTAGATCTTCGATGGACAAAGGGCGGATGTAGAGTTCCATGACGGAGGGCATAGGAGTGTTGACGCAGCGTACCCAAAGGGAAGTATATTTGGCGAATCGTGATTTCCTCGAGGTACAAGTCGAGGCGGAATGAAGTATAGTCGGAGAAATTAGTGAAGCCAGTCAGTTGACAATGACTTTACAGCCGCTTCAGAAATGACCCCGCTTCCTGAGATGGTGTGGGGCAAACTTTATCTCAACACTGGCCAGTGGCTAGGTATGAGACATCTCAAGCCAATTAAGATGTTGTTTGTAGGCGGCACCAGACCTGATTAATCTTTTAGTACTTTTACGATAGAATAAATAAAGGGAAGGGTAGAAGGCTCCCTAGGGGTTTAAAAATTCCTTATAAGATTTACCACACTACAGACAAATATAGTAAAATACTTAAGCCTAGTTTACTAGTTCTAATATAAATAATATTATATTAGTTTTTACTAGGTAATTAATAGAATATCCTTAGTTCTTATAATATTATAAAATATAGAAAAGTAGTTAATTAGTTATTATTATAATAGTTATTATATAAGGTAAAAGTATAGGTATAGTAGTACCCTTATATATAAGTAAAAGTAAAGAATACTACTAGTAAGTATTATAAGGTAATAAGAAAGAGCAGGGCATCTAGGCTACCTAACAAAGGAAAAGAGGAATAGTAAAACATAGGAAAACCACCTACACTATAACAACATCTAATAATAATAAAATATATATTAATTAATAGGTCTTATAATTCTTAGACCTAATCTATAAAGATACTAAAATAAAAGTATAAATTAATAAAGTAATTATAAAAAGAGTAAATTTCCCTAAATAAATAAAAGTATAGTAATAACTAGTAGTATATTTCTATATAGAGTATTAAGGCTAATAATAATAACTATATATAAGTAATTATATTCCCTTTAATTCTTTCTTAGGTCTATAAATCTCTTTTTTAATAGGTAGATAGCCTTCTTATTAATTTATCCCTTAAGTTAACTACTATATAATTCTTAGGACTATACTACCTAACCCTACTATAATTATCCCCTTAGACCTATTATCTTATCCTTAAGTAAAAGGTCTAATTAATTCTTAGACCTAAGAACTAAAGAAAAAACCTAAAGAAACAAAAGAAAGAAAAAAAAGAAATAGTTTAGCACTTATAGTAGTACTTAAGTTACTTTAGTAGCTTAAGACCTTTCTTTGCCTTTATTTTTATAATAATATTACTATATCTAAGTTTATAACCTCTTATACTACAAGAAGTCTATAAAGTCTTTTTATTAACTTTATCTTATTTAAGTCCTTAATATAATTAGAACTAACCTTCCTAAGAGAGTAAATAAGAAAAGCTATAATAATATATATAGTTAAAGGTATTAGCTTTAGTCTATTTCTATTAGTTAATATACTAGTCTATAAAGGATTTTTAAAAGTAATAGTATATATCTAGGTTACCTTATAGAGCTAGATATAGTAGGTAACAAAGGATAATTAGGTTCTTATTAACTTTAAGGTTTTATACTTAAGCTTTAAGATCTTTATTATCTAGAAGACTAGGTAGTATATCTAATAATAGAGAATCCTTTTTATTATTCTTAGTTTAAGTCTATAAATTATTAACTAGACTTACTTAACCTATTTATACTATTATAGGCGCTATTAAGAAGAAAAGGTTTTTATAAAAGTTATCCTTTAAGTGTATAATAATATATAAGGGAAGGTTCCTATATATATTATTATACTTATAAAAGTCCTTTAAAATAATAGATATAACTTATAAGGTAATAGGGACCTATCTAGGTTTTATATAGTTCTTATTAAATTAACTTATCTCTAAGAATTTAGAAGATAATACACCTAGGTAAAGAAAGGTTCTAGTCTACTTTACTACCTAAAGACTATAAGTAAAGCTATTATCTTATTACTATATATTAACTATATATATACTTAATCTAATAATACTAAGAAGGTCTATAAGTATATTTAAATAGTAATACTACTACTAAAGTAATTTAATTATATCTATAAATAATAAATTATAGACAAGAGTCTAACTAGAATATATAAAATAAACCTTACTATTAATCTAATTAACTAGGAGTAAAGCCTAGTGCTACCCTTTATAGTTAAAAAGGAAAATAAAGATATTAGCGTTTATAATATCTTTAATATTCTCTTTATAATATTAATAGTGTTAAGTATAATAGTATATAAGGTGTTTAACTAATACCTATAAATAGTATATACTAGGATCCTTTTATACTATAAGCTCTAAATTTAATTAAGGTAATAATTTCTTTATTATTAAGGGGTTCTTTTCTTTATAGGGTACTAATAGTATTATATAGATTTAAGGAATATTAAACTATATCTTAATTAATAGTATTATCTATATATATTTATTATCTTATTAGTCTAAATTAGGCCTAAAGATAATAGTATAATTTATTTATAGCTTTATCTCCTAGAGGTAAATACTATTTAGTAGTAAAGACTAGGTTAAACTAGTAAAAAATAAAGTAGTATACTCTTTTACTAGTAGATACCTATTAAACTATTAGCTTTAGTATAGTAGTAAGCGCTATAATTAAAAGAAGTAAAATATAGTAACTTATAGCTAATATAGATTTATCTCTTTAAGTCTTAGTATTTAGTAGTTACTATAGGATTAAGTCTACTAATTACCTTCTACCTATAGTCTATAAATAATAGGCTTACTATAGGTTAAGTTCTAAATTATAAGTATTTAGCCTTAATAAATTAGTTACTATATAATAAAGTAGTTACCTATAGTTAAATAAGTAATTTAGGAATTCTATTAGTATTAATAGAGAGGTAATTTACTATAGGGTATTAATCTTTATTTATTCTTAGACCTAGTTACTATAGTAGGCTATATTTATACCTTTAGAGTCTTTATAGTTAATATAAAGATACTAGTAGAAGTTAGGCCTTATAGGCTTACTATTTATTATTAAAGATCTATTATAGCTAAATTATATAGGCTATCTCTTATACTCCTTAATTAGACTATTAGTAGTTTATTTAAATCTAGGTTAAATCTATTAGTATTAGCTTATTTATAAAGTTTATAAATAATCTATTTAACTAGGTAGTCTTTACTATAATAGTTAAGAGGGATATTAGCTAAAGGCTCCTATATATAAGAATCCTTTTACCTAATTAAGAAACTTAACGCCTAATAGCTAGGTAAAGATATTAATAGACCTAGGGTAAATAATAGTTAATTAGTGTAGTATAATTTCCTTAGTATAAAAGAAACCTTTATATAAGCCTAGGTATACTAACTAAAAGTGTTTTTATTTATCTTTAGCTTTACCTTTATTCTACTAATTATTATAAAACTATATTTAACCTATACACTAGTTAATTATTAGACCTAAATAGATCTATTAATAGTTATAAAAGGTAAATAAGTAAAAACTATAAAGGGTAAGTTATAGTATAAGAATCCTATAAGGATAAGTCTTTACTTATATTTTTATAAAAGCTATTACTACTAATAATAGGCTATACTACTAATAATTATATTATTATAAAGTAGTATTAAGGTATAGTAACCTAGTGTAAATATTATTACTATTAGGTAACACTTTAGCTTCTAGGGTCCTAATAAGATTATAAAGACTAGTAATAAATAGTTACTATATTTCCTTATAATACTAAGATCTAATTCCCTTAAGGATAAGTATTAATTATAGACTAACTCTTCTTTATTATTAAGTTATTTATACTTATTTACTTACTAGGCTAGTTAGGTAGAGGTGCCTCTAGGTTAGCTTACTAAGGCTATAGATTTATTCTTTACTTTATCTTAAGTATATTACCTTTATAGCTACTATTATAATAGAACTTACTTTAGGTTACCTTCTTTAGGAGGAATTAATAGTAAGTTTAGATTTACTAGGGTAGTATCTCCTTTTAAAGCTAGTTAAGCTTATCTCTACCTAACTTATAGTTATAGAGGACTAATTTATTCTCTATAGTTTAGTTACTTAGAAGGTCTATTAGTAGTTAGTAGGTTATAGGATATAATTCTTAGACCTAAGCAAGAGTAAAAGTATTAAATATTATTAAATAAAGAGGTTAAAGGAGATATATACTCCTCTAAAAATAAGAAATAAGGTATAAAGCTCTTAGTAAAGGATAAAGTAGAAAGTAAAGAAAAAAGGTCTATATATTATAAAAGATATAAAAGAAAAAGAAGAATCTACTTTCTAATTAACCTTCCTTAAGTAAAAGAAAACAGAATAAAGGTAGTAAAAAACAAAGGTAAAGCCTTCTATAAAGGTAAAATAAATAAAAAGTAAAGTAAATAAGAGTAAAAAGAATAGTCTAGTGCCTCTTTTTAGCTCTAGTTAACTTTACCTTTGTTTTCTTTACCTATTAATAATAAAATAAATAAAAAGCTAAAGGATTAATATCCTTCTCTAAATTAACCTAATAGTAGATAAATCTTTCTTATTTACTATATTACTATTACTATTATTAATTCTTTTTCTTCTTTATCCCTATAGTATCTCTATAACTATAGATAACTTCTAATTCCTTATTAGTAGTGTTAAGAACACTAATTAACCTTACGCTTAAGATCTTTTACCTATAGAGTATTTAGCTTCTTAGTTTAGATAGAGGTATAATACTGTCTACTAAGCTTAATAACTTACTAAAGTATATATTATTTAATAATAATTAACTTTAGGTCTATAAATTACCTCTAGAAGGTTATTAGATAGTTACTAACTATTATAGGCTACTATAAGTCTTACTTAGTTACTCTTACTATCCCTTAGAATAAATATTTTAAGTTACCTTTATTCTATAGTTATAGTCTAATAAATTACTAGCTATTATATACCTAAACTTCTAGTATATTATCCTTAGTCTAAAGGACTTTAAGCTTATCTATTAAAAGACATAAGGATCTAGAAACCTTTATTACTATATATTTATTATTATAGTGTTACTATAATTAATAGGATATAGATAAGCAAGGTGTTTAAGTATATAACTACTATATATAGCTTCTTTATATAAGGATATAGAGGAAAAAACACTATACCTTATAGCTATTATAAGAGTAAGTGTATATAACTAGAAATAATAAGACT